AAAAAAAAAAAAAAGAAAAGTAGATGCAATGGGATGTACACCATTGTTGCAAATACGAAATGTGGAATTTGATTAGTATCAAAGTAAGCAATAAAGCTTACAAAAGGCACACGTCTGGACCACTAGCAAACACTTAATTTGTCTAGATCTTTCCTCGTTTGAAAACAAGTAAAGAAAAACAAACTGGACTTACTAAAGAAGGGGAGTACTAAGAATTAAGAAAAAAGAAAGTTTATTGTACATACTTGGAGGAAAAGTATACCTCTGAGTAGAAATTACTAAAGGAATTAGAAGGAAGGTCTAGAAAATGTATAAAAAAGAAATCATCACACTTCTCTAAATTATCAATAGAAAGACAAGATGTAAAGATGATCTTAATAAAGCCTCTGTGAAGGTAGGAACTTTTTTGTTCACTACTACAAACAGAGCACCTAAGGTAATTCCTGTCCCTTATTGTAGTTGTTGGTGTATTATATACATCTTATGCATATTTCCAGATTCAGTCTATACCTGCCTCTTAGACTCTCATTCCCTTGCTCTGTCTCAGCCTATTAACTGCCACTTAAGCCTATGAAATTTATACAGCTCATCTGGCTCCACTGCTTGAAGTCAACCAGCTGCATGCCTAGTGTGTGTGTCTCCTTGTACCATTTCCAGATTAGGATAAAATGCTACAACACAGGCATGGTATATGCAGCAAACTTTTATCAATGTAAGACAAAACACAAGAAGAAAACAGACAGGTAACTTGTTTTCTTTTTCCATCTGATGGATTGCTCTAGAGCATCGTTTCTCTCCTACAGCCTGTTCAGAATCACCCTGGGTAGCAAATTCAGTGCACCTACTATCTCTTCATGGTTCATCACAAAGCAGTAGCCAGCACAATAGTGCATTTCCTTGAATTACTCTTTATCCTTGCCTGCCTCATTCTTCTCTCTCTTTCTCTCACTCACTTACCCCTGGAATTGAATCTCCTAAGTAAGCAATCAGGACTTAATCCTTCCCTCATGCTCTGTTTGCTAGGATATATGGGATAAGACAGTTGTTGAATGGATGAAATGAAAAGGATAACATAAAGAGATATTGTTAAAAAGGAAAGATACCATAATAACATCAAAATGCATAATTACAGTTATAAGGAAAATAAAAGCTATGGAAAATAAAGTTAATTGGTAGGTTCAAACTTGAGAATTTCCTGTAGACACAGATAAAAAGGAGTAAAGGAAAGTATGAGAGACTTGAGACAGCTCTGAGAACCGACAACATTTCCTCAAGAAGACTGTCAAGTGCTGTTAAAAATACGGGATTCCTGAAAGATAAATCCGGTGATTTTTTAGTTACGGTGATGCTATCTAAGGGATTGAGTGGGCCATGGGATAAATTAGGAATATCCCTGTGGAGATCAAGTTTGATACCAAAGACTGACAGAGGGTTTCCGGCAGCTTCTCTAGGTTATTCTGCAGTTTAAAAAAATCTGGATGGTTTATAAAAACAAAGATTTACTGCTTGCTCACATTACATGTGGCTTTCCTCTATCTTAAGACTCAAACTGCAGCAGCAGACTATATTAGGAATATACTATTCTGGTGGCAGAGGACGAAAAGCAAAGGCAAATCAAGCAATGCTTCTTTTAAAACATTAGGACATGGCATATATTACTTTCACTCTTGTCTCACAGGCCAAAATAAGTCACATGGCTAAATACGAGGACAATGGGGGAGAAAATACACTCTAGCAACAGGGAAGGCCCTATTAAAAAAGAGCCCCTGGCGCCTGGGTGGCTCAGTCGGTTGAGCGTCCGACTTCAGCTCAGGTCATGATCTCACAGTTTGTGGGTTCGAGCCCTGCATGGGGCTCTGTGCTGACAGCTTGGAACCTGGAGCCTGCTTTGGATTCTGTGTCTCC